AACGATGGAATTAGATTTACGTTGTGAATGTTTGCAGCGAAACATGCATGCGTTTCAACAAGCATGATTATTGCAAAAACGGTTGACCGTCTTGCAGATTAGAATTCGTATTCCTTTACAGAATCGGCCACTACGACCAGGTTGCCGTTCTTATTTGGGAAAATTCCATTGAAGATGGTTTCCGTATCATGTCTCTACATTCTCGTCACTGCTTTTATTCTTCGGTGAGCATTTATTTCGTTTTAGCATGACGTTCAAAGTAAAGTTACTGAACAACTGCGGATTTGAAACGGTGCTATGTACATCGTTCTACCTAAATATTACGCACATTAACAAGTTCACATTCAGTCTTCGCTAAGTGATGCTCGTTCTGATTCTTTTGCTGAAACTCTCCAGCCTCATATTCAGTCTCGTCCGAACAGCAAATGATATATGACGAGTGCAAGCCTTAGTTTGTATCGACCGTAGTTCATTGTTAGGTCATTAAAGACCTAATATGATGCAGGCGTGCCGTAGCTCACCAGGATGTGAGTAAATCAAAAACAGAAGTTGTGCCCACAGCTAAGGAACTCCGACTGCCAGAGACTTTATCACCGATTTCGTTAGTTTCTTTTGTTTGCTTTATTTTTTTTCAAAATTTCGTCCTTATGATACTCTTTTCAAAGAATCCGTTTTCAGATAAATTTGCCAGGTTTCTTAAGGTACATGTTAGTGATCGTTTCCGTTGAACAAAACGCATCGCATTAATTTGTAAATTTGATAGTTCACTCCAAATAAATTACCTCGCCAAACTATCTAACTTGATGGATTCACAGTCATCTTCTCCAACATCCTTCCCCTTTGATTATGATTCCTGTTAGGAGTCTGTGATGCACCGCACCGTGAGGCACTCAGATAATGTGGTCTCCTTTGAAAAAAATGTTAGGTTCATCATGATTTTACACTTGAAAAGTATACGGGTTCAGAACACTCAGAATCCTGCATAGTTCATCTGGTGCATGTGTTACAGATATGATTTAACCATCCGAATCTACTTGAAAGGATTCGTGCAGATAGCGGCTAAGAAGGAATCGACATTCGACGCTGTTCTAAGAATCAAATTTCGCGTTAACCAAGCAACCGACAAAATTGTTTTGAATGCACTCAATCTCAATCTTAATGAAGACCCGAAAGCGTACAACTTAACGGGCTTGAATGAGGTGAAAACACCTGAGGTATCTCATAACAGAACATTACTGAACACAATTGTTACAGACCGAATCAAAAGGTACATCAAAAATTTCTGTGCCACATTCTTGCATGAAAAGACAAATGGAATTTGCAAAACCTGAAGTGATCCCAGAACAAAGCATCATATTTCAGATTATGAAGGTGACTGTAAATGAAACAGTTCAAATGGTGACGTTCACGCTTGATAGTGAGCTTAAGGCGAATCACGAACACGTTCTCGATGTTCGTTAACGTTCACTTAAAATTGATCTTTTCACATCTAAATTGTCTGGGGGACCTTGACCTGAGCATGCTAGTGATGGTCTCTTGAATCAAGAAATCACGACTGGCTGCCACATGAAGGCATTGTTAGGCATCAGGGTCGTCAATAGCGCCGACGGCATTCCATATCTCTCCGAAGGAAATATGAACAAAAACGGAAATAAATCAAGAAAAACCCATCCCAACTCGAGACTAAACGATCTTCAGATCATTTTCAGAATTCATCAATATCGAGATATTTTTCATAATTCTTCAGCGCAATATGCACAATAAGCGTAAGCAACGAAACTAGGAGTGCTAA